CAACATGTAGAAATTTAAATTCAAAGAAACAGTTATATCAAGCTGAATGCTCACCAATGGGACGGTATAATGTCTTCATCTATAGGCCAACTGCAAAATAAATGGCCAAAAAAAAATAAAAATAAAAAAAATTAAGTAAGTTTTTTAATTTAAGTTTTCTTTATTATGATTTTACAATTTGATTTCTCTTTATTTCCTTACATATTGATTGGCTCCATGGCTAGTGCAGTTTCTGCTACACTTAAAAATGCAGCATCCACATTGTAATCTTCCTTTGCCGAGGTTTCGAAATAAGGTATGTTCCCCTTCGAAGCGCACCACTCTCTAGCCGTTTTTTCCGATACCTAAGTAAAGATCGCCAAACATAACAAAAATATTTACAAGCTGCAATAACTGAATTAAACGAACAAACATGCATAATATATATATGCCGCGTTTTTTTCGACATTAAATTAATACCACACGACTGTTGCCACCGTCAACGTCCACCTTGTTCCCGATTAGCACAAAGGGGAATTTCTCCGGGTTCATAGGGTCCACCTGAAAGACAAAATTAGCTACCGATCAATTTTATTTAATTTCACTAAAAAAATATTAGCGAAAATTTTGAAAAAAAATTGTACACAGATTATATTACCTGTTTGAGAAATTCTTGGTGCCAGTTTTGAAGTGTCTCGAATGATTTACGGATGTTCACATCATAAACAAGAATGCAACAATCTGCGCCTCGATAAAATGCGACGCCTAGGCTTTGAAACCGTTCTTGTCCGGCCGTGTCCCATATCTGTTCGACTTTCGTGTCTTTTTAAGAGATCACTAACATTTGGATAAAAATGTGATAACATTGAGTTTTTTATCACTTACTTGCAAAGTGACTAATTTGTCGACATCAAACTGTAGCTCTTTGGTGACAAAATCGGCACCTATTGTTGCTTTGTACTGAGGTCTGAATTTTTTGTTCACATATCTGGTGTAGTAGTAGTAGTTAACAGAGTTACACAAAATATTCAAGCACAAAGTACAAAATTCTCGAAAAACAGCTGTGGATTTGAAGAAAACACACAAA